CAACAAAGTCCGTCATACGCACATGTATGCATAATGAATGGGAAAAGCTGAAATGCTATAAATATGATTCTTAGCGAAGTTGAGCATCATCAGCACTTTTCCAGGGAACGAAGTACGTTACTTCCATTCTGTTTCACTTCTTCTGAAAACTGTAAAATCTCGCGTACATCCTCGAGATAGTCGTCAAAATATCTGCGATTCCTCATGAAACTGGCCGTTAGCAGCAGGTATTGATCGGAGAAGTTTTTCAGCCTAAAATAAGTAAGTCTCCAAGTTCTTTTGGTGCGACTATACCGAAGATAGCAAACCTCAAGGGATCATCGTAGTTCCAAAATCCGCCAAATTTCACCTTCCTTTGTTTGATGCCTTTCTAACAAAAACTGATAAGAGTAGAAAACTAAACTAAAAAATGCAACTCTGCATAGTGCATACTAGATGGTCATTACAAATTCGCGGCGCATTCTTCAACAAAAGAAATTTCAAGATAACGCATCGATACAGTAGGCCCGTACTTCACACTTCGCGTTAAACTCTTAAACTCTAATCAATAAACCAATGCTATATTCAGAACTACTAGTAAAAGGAGATTCAAAGCATTACAAGTGCTTACCTTAGTGAGAACATAGGTCTGATTTAAGCGAGGAAAAATTTTGTGTAGGTAGGCAAGGTATTTTTCGGCATGCTTTCGCGATCCCGCTAATGGAAGGTACTGAGTTCTGTTCAATTTCCTAGCAATCCCATAGCCGATGATCAAGTGGAACAACTGAAAAAATTCAATTGTCCGAGATGCGGTTTGTAAAAATCAATTGTCCGAGATGCGGTTTGAAAAAGGCACAGAGGCTTTGCTGAGAAATTTGTATTTTTGTACTTCACCAAATGGCATGAGCAGCACCAATAGCCTTCAAAGTCAACCTTTAAATTTATAAATAGTTTTTTCGTTAGAAAAGCATGAGAAATAAATCTATCTAGACGCTGTAAGACCGCAACCAACTTTCATACCCCAAAAGTTATGCGACATATCCTGGATTAATTACAGCATAAAAGAGTTTCTACAAGCATAACATTATGAGGCATCAGGCCTATCCATAACGAGCAACACGAGGTCTTAGCTAGGTGTATGGGCGATATCACCCACCATCGGTCGCGAAAATCCAAGATATGAGGCTGCGCGCGCGTCTCATGCGTAGAAAATTGATAGTCGAGCGTGACTGACTGCACCAAAGCATGCGCAGTTGTCCCTTCCTGCAGTGTAGGGGTGCAAGTGAATGTATATTTACGACAACTGCTTTGCTTTTCTCCCAAAACACTTTTCTTTGACTTCCACCCTCGTAAAGGGCCCCGTTTTTTCACACTTAGGCAAATTACAACTTTAGTTAACTAATGAATATAACTTTAGCGGACATTTGTTCAAGTTGTTTGCAAGAAGGTGTAAGTTTTTGAAGTATAAACAACAGTAAACAATGGCTACCTGGTTTCCAAGGCGACCATCATTTGAAGGATTTCCCACAAATTTTTGAGGAGCTTTGGGTTGTGGCTGAACTCCAACCATACATGGCTTGAGAAGAGGCGGACGCGTCCCATATTTTTCTTTTCTCTTTGGAGGTATTTTGGTAAATTAGTTTCTTTCTGATGTAGTTTTCTGTCATAAGGTGTATGTAATCCTCGCATTTTGTTGTCAGGTAGTGGGTCAGTTGTACAGACGCGTCGGAGTAGCTAACCCGGCGCTAAGGTTGTAGGCAGTAGGTGGAGCGAGGCAGGGGGGTGCTGAGCTCACCGAGCCGCGACATATCGGGCATATATTAACCACCATCGGTCGTGGGTATCCAGGGAATGAGGCAGCGCGCGTAACGTACACTCACAAGCACAATCAAATTCTTTTGCAGTTTATTGTTGTTTTTGTTGTTTTCTTTCTTTGCATGCGCCATTCTCCTCCGATGTACTTGCCTTGTTTACAGATCTGATTTGGAATATGGGGCGACTACTTTTGAAAGAGAGCTTCGGAGCATTACCCATTGTATGTTTTTCTTTTCTTGAAATGACGTCGCACGAAGATGAAATTTATTTCCATCGCTATCGAAAAAGCAGGTAAGAATCGTTATTTCCGTAATAAACCAAGTTGGGAAGGTTCTGAAACACCAAAATCGTATCTAATAACGATTCCCACCTTTTTTTTCAGATGGCGATGGAAATGTCTTTTCATCTATACAGCGAAACTCAAGCATAAATTGAAAAGGTGATTTTGAGAAGACAACAGCATATAATGTTATTGCTCCGAAGCTCTCCTTTGAGAGTACGTCGACCCATGGGCTAAATTCAGATGTATAGCTAAGTCAAGTACATCGGAGGAGAACAAACGCATGACAAAGGAAGGAAACAACAAAAAATCAAAGGAAATTGATTGTGGTCATGAGTGTGGGTAACATCAGCTTCCACACTCGGACTGCAATCTCCTGCGCTCGTGGTGCACGCGCGCTGTCTCAGATCTTGCGTACCCACGACCGATGGTGACTGGTATGCCTTGTAGGCAATTTAAGCTTCGATTAATTAATGAATTCGATTGTAGCAGCGAGAAATGAGTGTCAGGTTCAAGTTGTTTGCAGGAAGATTCACGTTTTTGAAGCATACTTATCACTAAACTAGCTACCTGGTTTCCTAAGCGACCATCATTGAAGGGATTCCCCACAAATTTTTGAGGAGCTTTCGTTGTGGCTGGACTCCAACCATACATGTGTAACGATTTCATTTTGGCAGAACTCCAACCATAGATACGTAGAATAGTTGAGAATTGGCGCATTGCAACAATTGCCACCATGAATAGAATCCACGCTCTAAGCCATGCCTTTCGTTTAATCGTCCAACGCATGCTTCTGAATGAAATTTTATAGATTTCAATGCTTAATCTATTTTCGTACTTGATGAACGAAATCTGTAAGACGTTGATATAGGCTGCAGATTCTAGAGAATAGTATTCTACATTATAAGCTATGTGATTATTACATGGAAGAGATATTCATATTATGGATGTTATAAGCTTGAATACTATCAAAAGCAGAGAGCGCAAATCACAAATCTCACGAATTTTCGGAAAACAGGAGTAGAAACATAGAGATTGAATCCCCATCATATCTCTCACCAAAAAATGCCCTTCGTGCCGGCTACTCAATAAACTTTCTTGTGTGGTTTTCGGAAAGTCCACTCCATAAAAAGCTTGTACAGCACACTCAGCAGGCATATTGCACG